TACCTTTCAAACTATTAAAATATAGGTATAGTGGAAATTTTAAAAATACAAATTACTCACATGGGATTGCACCTTAACGTTAATTTTTGAAAATTATGAAATTCCTTTCCCCCCACGTAATATAATGTTACATATAAATATTTTACTCTGAAATTTATAAAAAATGATGAAGTTGAATAATTGAAAAAAAATTTGCTGTCTGCTGAAAATTAAATATTTTAAATCTACATTATCGACGTACAGTAAAACAGTTCATATGTTTGTGTTTACTTTTTTTCGCTAAAATAATTAAATCAAATATCTAGAGACTTGAATTCAATTTTTTAGTAGATTACTTATTGTGTGAAAAATAAAATGAATGTAAATTATACGTGGAATTCTAATTTTGATTTTAAAATTAAACTCGCCCAAAAAACAATTTTTTTCTTTTGGGTAATGAACGTGATATTTAAAAAAAATATGTGCCGGTTGGTTGTCATAGTGACAACACTCTTTTGTTTTGGATTTTCCGTTTACCAGTTTACTTTTCAGTTTTATCTTTACAAAGATTTCAGCATACACATAATCAACGAGAAAAAAATGGATTTAAATATTCTAAGAAATAAATTTAAGGTTGAAATAAAACCTTTAGAATATTTTTCAAACGAAATGTGCAAGAATTTGATAGCTTACGATTCGACCGTGTAAGTAAACCATACTTTCTTAAAATGTAATCAAAAATATTTTTTAATGCATAAAATTTACTTAAAAAAACTTTTTTTCAGTGGTATTATTGGTGCCGTGGACGAAATTCGGGATGTGGAAAGTGTTGGAAAAAGTAATCGAAAAGTATTTCGCTTTTACTTGAACAATTATAAAGGAACACGAATTCAATTTTCAGTTTGGAATGAAGAAATTAACGACATTTTTTCAGAAATAAAATTAAATGCGGTATTTATTTTATATATTTATATTATTATATTATAATTAATTATAATAAATATTTTTCGTTTCCTCATTAATTGTTTTTTTCAGATTTTGTATATAGATGGAGTATCTCCAAGACCGTCACCAGCAATTTTTAATAAAGGAACGATACCTGTAGAATTATTATGCCAATCGCATACAAGAATAACTACTTTTGGAATTCACGTGTCTCAAGTGCCTGAAAGGATTTTGGAAGATGTACCGCTTATATCTTTTAATCAAATTGGAAAAGTAACCGGTAAAATTCGTAAGTGTCAAAAAATTATTTTTATTTTAATAATAATATATGCTACATCTATTTATTTTTTATTTATTTTTATTTATATTAATTTGAAAAACTGAAATTTAATTATTAATTAAAAAATTATAATTTATAAGTATTTTTATTTTTATTAAAATGCAAATATAAAATTTTATTTAATTTTTCAAATAAAAGTTTTTAAATACAACAAGTTTTTAAAATAATTTTAAATATATAGTAAAACTGTAAGATCGATTAATTTAAAAATTATTTTCAAACAGCTATTTGTATTTAATAAAATAATTTATTTATTTAGAACATATAAAACGGGGCAAACTTTTTTGTACATTTAGTATTTCTAAATTTTAAGAGTTACAAAAATTTATTAATAATAATAACATTTCTATATTAAAAATATAAATTATTTGTGATATTATTAAAAATTACAATAATACATAATAAAATATTTAATTAATATTTTAAAAAATGTACAATAATGCAGAAAATTTTAATGATTCCAAAATTTTTTGTAGAACAGTTACTCTTATCGATATTAATAATCGACAGTTTATCCGAAAAATGTCAAATAAGAATCTTCCAAGTACGGCTTTAATATTCCAAAAATGCAAAATGAAGATAAAAATAATTTTGTTTTTTGTAGTAGTACTGTCATCCTGGTAAGCGAAGTGTTTGTTATCCGGACCACAAAGCAAAATCTACATAATAAAAAAATTTTATATTAATACATTACCGTTGGAAATTATTTAAAAAATAATTAACCTTTATAATAATACATTTTTTTACTGTAATGAAAGAGTAAAAATAAATCTTACCAATGATACAATTGAGACTCGAACATCTTTTCATTCCATTCATTAATTGGAATATTGCAACGTTTATCAAAAGGTGAATATCTTTCACATCAAGTCAAATATAATTAGTAGTATTGATGCATTTTTAATCCACATTTCTTCGCTTTCCAATGCCATAGAAACAATCTGTAATGAAAATAATATTTTTTTATGATAATTGAAATTATTCACTGTAATTTAAAAAAAATATATTTTACTTACTTTTAATTAATTTACAGCAACTTTTATCAAATTATCAATTAGCAATCCTCTCGAATTAATAAATTCAAACAATGATTTGAAATATTAACCCCTTGACTGTGGATGACGTGTATACACGTCATGAAAAAAACTGGCCCAAACAGTGGATGACGTGTATACACGTCATGGCCCGAACAAGAAAACATCTTAACGTATATTCGCAAAAATTTTTACTCAGGGGTTTTTGGGGTCGCTGATCACGATTCTGAAGTCAGATTTTCAAAATAAATAATTTTTCATCCAAAATGGCCGCCAAAAATTTTGAAAAATTTCAAAAGTGGATAAATTCTTTTAAAAATTCTTACTCGGGGATTTTTGGGGTCGCTGATCACGATTCTGAAGTCATATTTTCAGAATACATAATTTTTCATCCAAAATGGCCGCCAAAAATTTTGAAAAATTTCAAAAGTGGATAAATCCTTTTAAAAATTTTTACTCGGGGGTTTTTGGGGTCGCTGATCACGATTCTGAAGTAAGATTTTAAGTAAGATTTTAAGAACATATAATTTTTCATCCAAAATGGCCGCCAAAAATTTTGACAAATTTCAAAAGTGGATAAATTCTTTTAATAATTTTTACCATTTAAACTTTGAAAAGCTAATAACAGATTCGTAATCAGCAACCCCAAAAACCACCGAATAACGAATTTTAAGCGTATGGAATGAATTTTTCAAAATCGTGACCGCTATTTGGAATCCGCCATTTTGAATTTTAAAAAACTAATGTTAGATTCGTAATCAGCGACCACGAAAACCCCCGAGTAACGATTTTTAAGCGAATCCAATGAATTTTTCAAAATCGTGTCCGCCATTTTGGATCCGCCATTTTGAATTTTTGAAAACTAACACCGGAATCGTAATCAGCGACCCCAAAAACCCCTTAGTACCTATTGTCATGAAAATTTATGTACAAGAAGATCTTACACATTTTGGGACCATTTTGTTATATTTTAGCTACACACTGAAGGGGTTAATATCCTGCAAAAATAAAAAGTTTAGTAACACCAATAATAATAAATTAATGAAATATATTTATATATTATAAAAATTGAAAATAATTTATGACCTTAAAAAAAGAAAATTAAAAAAATATTAATACAAATAGACATTAATAACTATAAAGATAATATAAGAATTATCATTACTTTATAAATTTTTAAAAATCATCACAGTGTAATTCAAACTTAATTTTAAATATTTTATAATATAATAAAATCGTATATATTCACTATATTGGAATATGCTATACATTTACAAGTAAGGAATAAGTTATTTTTAATTAATCAAAATTTAAAAAGCACTATTTTTATTATGATCACTACTTCAAAATTTTAATAAACCATTTAAAAATATAATTTTTTTTGTATTTATAAGTATACAGTTTTTTCAAATAGCGTATTTCCAGTATTTGAATTTACTACATAGATATTAGTAATAAATAAAAAAGCATCATTTTGGTCTTCATCGTAATTTATTTTTATCATCATTACTTCCAAAATTTGAATAAATCCTCAAAACATAAGTTATTCTTACTTATAAGTATACAGTTTGTTCAAATATCATATTTGCTGTATTTGAATTTACTATATAGTTATGACTAAAAAATAAGTTATATTTTATTCATTAAAATTTAAAAAGCACCATTTTTGTCATCATCATAATTTATTTTTATCATCATTACTTCCAAAATTTGAATAAATCATCAAAACATATGTTATTTTTACTTATAAGTATACAGTTTGTTCAAATATCATATTTACGATATTTGAATTTACTATATAGTTATGACTAAAAAATAAGTTATATTTGATTTATTAAAGTTTTAAAAATATCTTCTTTTGTAATTTTCATCATCATCAAATGTCGTTACAAACCTGTTGTGTCAAAGTGTAGTCTCTCTGTTGCGTAACAAAATTATGTAATTGTTACATAACTGTTATGTTATTATTACATGACTGTTATGTAATTGTTACATAACTGTTACGTAACTGTTACATAACTGTTATGTAACATGAAAGTAACAATGTTCTGTAACTGTCCAGTTTGTTTTTTTATTTGTACATAACTCTTAAAATACGAAAAATTATAATTCCATATTTTCAGTACCTTTCACAGTACTCTTTTTTCTTATATTATAACAATTTTTGTGTTTTTTTATATTTTAATTTTTTTGTTATTGAATTTGAAAGTAACAAATGTCGGGAATTTTTGACGCAAAGTGACGAAACTTCTCACCGTGCGACTGATCGCGTATAGTTGATTTCATTTGTCATTATTTTTTTATTTTAATAATTAAAAGAAAATAAAGGTTAATTTTACTGCCAATATGTTGTTTATAAATTCTAATAAACATTAAAAAAAATTGGGCATTTCATAACAAGTTTGAACTAATTTATGAGGGTGAGAATTTCCCTCACCTGTGATGGATGAAGGGTTAAAAAGTAAAAATGAAGTAGGGTGAAAATAAGCTATCTTGAAACTTTTTAAGATATTTAATATAATATCGATATAATCTTTAATTTTATTTTAAATTTTTTAACGTTCTTTGAAAATGTAGTCCGTTAATTTCCAGAACATTGTAATTTTTTCTATAAAATTTTCTAGAAATAAATAAAAGAAATTTTAATTTGAAAAATAAGAAAAAATTTATTTAAACTCGTAAAGAAAAATGGATTTGTCAAAGTGAAATAAAAATGTATAATAGCAGAGTCTCGCTGAATGCGGAGCCAACAACATTTTATCATAATGAAGTATAATATAAGTAATTATAGTAAGTATAATCGTTATTCTTCAGCTTCCTTTTCACTGCGTGTATTTCTATGATTCCTAAAAATATAAAAATTAAAAGTTAATTAAAATTGAAGAAAGTAGATTAGACAAATTGGAAGTATGGTAAATGTACTTGGCTTTTTCCCTCTTGTAGCGTTGAATAGATACGCGAAACCACTCTTTGGCAATGTTGTCGAACTCCGACTCTTTTAGAGACGCGTGAGTAGTGCAGAGTAGCGCTATAACAAATATGAATAATGCTTTAGAAAATTATTTTATTAAATAAATGAAAAGAAAATTTCAATCCGTACTATAACTATAAAGTTGCAGATAATTGTATTGAGAAAATATTGTTCACTGTAAATAATAGAATAATTGAACAAAATTTTACGATCAGAAATTTAGTTATAAAAAAACAAAAAATTCTTATACATACTTCTAACATGATTAACTAGTCGTAATTTTTAAGCTGCTGGTTTTTGTTTTCTTTCTTTCCATGTGTAATATTTGCAACATTTATTCGAAAAAACAGTTTTTAAAACGTTGTATATGTTTTCCTTTGCAGAGGGTCCACCAATTCGAAGAATGTATTTTTCCTAAACAAAATATTATGAAATATCTAGCATGTCAAATTCTTTACTTTTTGAGATGTACACGGAGAAAAATAATATAACTTTTACTACTTTCATAGTAAAACCTATAGACTGTCAGGAACTTCTTTGCGCATTTCTGGCTTTTCCTATTGACGAAGTAAATTTTACTAATTTTTTACAAAATTGTACTTTAAACTTAGAAAAATTTACTCCGAAGATAGTAAAAGTTGTCAAAAAAGCGCAGAAGTTCCTGACAGTTTAAGTTTTACAATAAAATTACTTTTAGTTACTTTATTTCGTTTATCTGTGTATCAAATAAAGAAGAACATTAAAATTTTTCCTACATTAAAAATACTTACAAAAAGCAATTTAGTTTCTTGAGAAGTTTTCAATTTCTTATTGAATTCATCCACATATGCGACTTTCCTTAGTGGTAGCAACGCTTTAATGTTTTCCATTTCATTAAGAATCGACTTCTCATTATTTCCTTTTTCTACCAGCGACAGACGGTTTTTTACATCTTTGAGCTCTAATCTCATGTGTGCACATAGTCGAACTACTTTCTCTATGTGTGATTGTATTTTTCCATTATTATCTAAAAATATCATATAAAATTAGAATTAATCAATAAATACAAAAAATAATTTTATTATAAGTTCATTAAATTTTGATTCTCAGTTAATGTAATTTTTAAAAAAATTTGAATTGACTGAGGTCTGACTTTTCCTGTTTCTTGCAAATTTCAATATTTTATGGAAAGCAATGATCGTAAAATAATAATTAAATATAAATCTTCATATAAAGTACAAACCATCAATATTCTTATGTTCAAAGACATCTTCAGAACGATAGCTTGCATGTTTTGATGTATCAGCCTGTGTTAATAAATCTTTATCACCAAAGTCAGGTTCTTCTGGTAGAGGTGCAAGGATGGTACTAAGTTGCTCATCATCATCAGTATTATGAAAATTCATTGAATTAGAACTATTATGTCGCACTTTTTTCTTTTTTGGAGCTGAAAAACATACAAAATCTAAACAAAATCTTCCTTTTTTATTCTCTTATATTATTTTTATACTCTTGTTCAAAAAATTTTTTTTCTCTTTTCGATGGTGATGCATTTATGTATCCTATTACTGCATGTAGAAATATAATTTTTCTTCAATATTAAAAATTGTATAACACCTAACCTTGCGTATAATTTTCCATATCTTCATCAACCGACAGGTTTCTTGAAATTTTAGAACGATAGCCTTTGCCTAGGGTTTCATGATCTGTAGAACTGTAGTTTCCATTGCCTGCTCTTTTTCTAGCCGACGTCATTGAAGCTGTAATAAAAAAATAGTGCTGTACATTTATGTTACAAATAATGAATTATAAAATATGAAATTTTGTCATTTCCAATTCTTTTTAAAGTACTTGGAAAAACCTTGTTCGAGAATTATTCCAGAATATATTCAAGAATTGAGGATCTGTAATATCGTAATTTGTTTCCGTAGTCGAGCGGTATGAGAAGATCTTGTAATCTTGGACCTTAAGTTCAAGTACTCAAGCAGGCAAATTTCTTTCTTTATGTTCATATTTTTCGATTCTAAAACAAATTCCAGAATTCTTCATGAAAGTTCAACGAGTTTATAAGAAATTAACTTCAGTTATTTTCTAACAGCTTAAAATAATATTTCAAACAGTTCATATCCTTAATTCTTGAATAAATTCTGGAATCATTTATTATTGAACAAAGTTTTTCCGTGCATACATGTTACTCCAAACAAAATTTAAATTCAAATTAAGAAATTGAGAAAATAAGTTAAAATTAAAAGTTTCCTATATTTGATAAACATATATTTATAGTTAAATTGAAAAATACTTACAACAGAATTTATCAATTTCTACTTCCAATAAGAACCAAGTTGCAGAATCGTGGTCACTTCTCTTTAAAAGCAACGATGTAACATTCATAATAGTAGGAGGCCACCAACATTTATAAATGATTTTATCATTTATATCTTTAAAGTATCGTAGCCATTTTACCAGCACTTCTGAATATTGATCCAATTCATTTTCCGATTGTAAGAACTTAACAACAGCAAATTCTTTAAGGCTTTCCACTGGTCTCTAGAAAGAAAAACTTAAAAGTTAATTGTAATGTAATATAAAATTATATTACATACTAAAATTTAATTAATATTAAACGTTATTTTATATTAGTTATATCTTTCTTTAGTCAGAGTTTACATCTTTTTACTGAATATACCTTTATAGAAAACAATAAATTGAAAAACAGAAAATAACATATTTTTTATATTACGGGGATTTGTACAATACCAGCAAAATAATTTACATTTTTGTAAAAAAAATTAATTTGATATTCTTTTACTAATTTTAAATACATATTTTATAAATAACATACATTTATGATAATTTAGATTTTTATAATTACTTAGTAGAATTTTACTGTTCATTATCAATGACACAATTGACCATTACTGGTACTGTCACTTGTTCAAAATTACTTTCATCATTTTAATTCAATAACTCTTTTCCAAAATTTGTAACTAAAATTCTTCTTTAAATTAATTATTATTAATAATTTTTAAAACATTTCTTTGAACATTTTCAAATCCTTTTGTTTACAATTCAATTTTACGAAATTTCATCGATTAGTCGAAAATTCTTCAATCAAATATTAGAAAATACAAACTTCAAATAACTTAAAAAAAATTCAATTGAACTTTAAAAAAAAATTAAATCTACACAACTTTTAGCTAAAGTATGAAAAAACATTCAAAGATCAAAATTCAATTATCTACAATTTTAACTGAAATTTATATTTGAATCAATTATAATTAGAAAATTCTACGACAATTTAAATATTTAAATACAAAAATAAGTAATTTATTGAATAATTGAATGTTTCTTAAAATTTAATTCCCATAAAGAATCGTTATCAACAAATTTTCAAGTAATTGAATTCTATCAACGAATTTTAATAAAAATTTTCAGAATAATTACATTTTTTGAGAAATTCGATTAAAATTGTATTAAAAATAATTGAAATTCAGCAATGAGTTTTATTATTTGTGAAAATAATAGTTAATTTATAAAGTTTTTTATTATTTATGAAAATAATTAAATCTCTGTAAAAAACATTTGATTATTTATGAAAATAATTAAATTATTGCGAAGAAAAATTGTGAAGACAACTCTTTTAAAATTAAATTAAGAAATTTGAATTAAAGAAAAATTAGATTTCAAGAATAAGCACAATAACTTAAGAAAACAATAATTTTCCAGGATTACAACCAAAATTGAGACTTTTCCAGGTTTTTTCGAAGTATATAAAATTTCCTGACATTTCCAGGTTTTCAGGTTGCGTGTCAACCCTGATTTATTACATTTACATTTATTTCTATATTATTTGAAATTATTTTGCTTACCAAATCGTAATCCAAATCCATTTTAACACTATTCACGTCTATTAAACAAATTGTAGCAAATACACATCGACACGTTTAGATAAATGAAAGAAAGATTTGTCGAGCGGCAAGAGTAGGTTAAAGCATGACTTTGTTTACGATATGTATATGTAAAGTCGGTTCTACAATGGGCACGTTGGACGTGAACGTCTGACGTGCCGTACTGACGTCACCCATTTGAATAGCATGGATGTCGTCAGACGACCACGTCCGACGTGCCCATTGTAGAACCGTCTTAAAGATCTGAACATAATATCAACACTTGCTACCAAAGCTACCAAACGACAGTAAACACTTAAACAGAGAGGACAAGTCTTTGATATCTATATATATTCTCTGATAAGCAGTTGGACAAAGACAGGCAGTTCCATATCTAACCTAACCTTAACCTTTATATACGGTTTCACACGTGTATCGTCTCAATAGTAAAAATATTACAGTAGGTCATGTTTGATTCATGGTTTGATTTCAACGATTGGGGACAGGACCATTTAATAACCTAAAACTTTATAATATTGAATATACACGTTGTATGGAATTTATCAAGTAAAACCATAGTCATGTTTTTATGTGGCCTTTGCTGGAAGTAATAATAAATACGTCCACACTGTTTGTATGTTAATTCTCATCCTTCTTTTCATGACAATTTGACGTTGATGTAAACGTTGAAATTAAATTGAAAACTCAGGTAAGCATACTCATTATGTATTCTCAAACGTTTCCAATTTTTAAAACGAATAAAAATTAATATATTAATTTACAATATTTATGAATATAATAATATATTTTTTGTTTTCAAATTCAACATTCTGAACATAACCTATTTAATGTCTCGATTATTTTAAACAATAGAAAATTCTGTTTGCGTTACAATTTTGACATAATATTTTGTGGAGAATAAACTAGAAAAGTATTACAAGACAAATATAGAAATTGTTTTTAAATAATTTTATAAGTATAATTTTAAAGACTATAACTTCTGCGCTGACAAGTATTTTTTTGTACGTGGACTACCGCAGTGGTTATTGTGGGTAGCCGAAATGTTTTTTCATTTATATATTGCAAAAAGGACTAAAATTCTTGCAGGTTTTTTTCTATACAATCGTATATGTTAATAAATTCAATTATATCAATTATAGATAAACAAAAATATTCGGAAAATAAATTTTTAGAAAATTGGTTTACTCCACTGTTTCGAAATCTATTAACCACTTCACTGGCGGGGCGTTCCAAATGGCGTTCCACGCGCCGAGGCCCAGACTGGCAAAAACACCGAAATGGCGTTCCTAATAAAACTTTATTTTTAAAGAGTGTACACTACTTTTTACTACTACAAAGCAATATTTCTATAGTTTAGACATCAGGGAACAAGATTATCACAATGAAAATTTCAGTTTTTGAGATTTTTAATGTTTCTTTGAACGTTGAAATAGTCGATTTTTAACACTTTTTAACAAATGGCGTTCCACTTTTGTTATTATTAATAATTATTAAATTTTATTTATTAATTATTTATATTTATTTTTTACTTATTACATTATTATATTATAATGTTTTGTATGTAAATATATTTTTTAAATAAAAAATATGAGTTTTACTGTGTAAAAATTGAAAAAAAGTGGAACGCCATTTGGTGAAAAGTGGTAAAAATTGACTATTTCATTGTTTGAAAAAACATTGAAAATCCCAAAAACTGAAATTTTTATTGTGATAATCTTGTTCCATGATGTCTAAACTATAGAAATATTGCTTTGTATAAGTTAAAAGTAGTGTACACTCTTTAAAAATAATGTTTTATTAGGAACGCCATTTCGGTGTTTTTGCCAGTCTGGGCCTCGGCGCGTGGAACGCCATTTGGAACGCCCCGCCAGTGAAGTGGTTAACCGATTTCGAATGTTTTCGCTTGTTTTCCTTCATCTGTAATTTCACGAATAAGTATCACGAAATATATGTATAACAATAAAAACACATATTTTAACATATTAAACACATATTAAAACATAGATATATTAAGCATAACCTATTTAATATATCGATTATTTTACAGTAGAAAGCTCTGTTAAAAAATAATTTTATTTGTAATTCGAATCAAAATGTTTTATTTGCTGTTACAAAAGAATTTTTGTAAAAAGTTGTGATAATTTCAATTTCTTTTTTTGCAATATACTAAATATAAAATACTTAACTTACTCAAAAAACTGTCAGTAGTTCTGTATAATAAAAAGTTATAAATAAATTTACAAAATTATTGAATTCAAAAAGTTTATTTATTTATTATTTAAATAATAGAGGCATCTTGGATCTTAAAATGGCACGCATTTTTAGTAAATGTTTCAATTATTTAATTTAAAATTTTAAGAATAGAAAGAGATTTTTCAAATTTATTATTGAACAATTTAAAAATGAGGCCATAAAAAATCAGAAATTGGAGCATGTGCCATTTTAAGATACGACTCCTTTATTATGGAAAATATTATATTTTTTGCAAATTTAATTGAAAATTTCAAAAATAACTAAATTTTATTAAATGCCTTAATTGTGTTAATGCACAAGTAAATAAACTACCAAAATTCTATTTTTATGTATGTTTCGTTATTTTTATTTAAAAGAATTACTTTTTATTACGCGAAAATAGTGCTTCCCACGAAACGAGACGAGATTTTATATAGCATCGTCTCGATCTCGTTAAATATTAAAATTTAATATGTCAGTCTCGAAAAAAGTGGTCTCGATCTCGGTCTCGATAAATCTACTTACCTTAATTTGAGAAATTTAGAGTTGCCTTAGAGAAAACTGTTTACAAAATATATATAGTTGTAAAATGTAAATTCAATTATCAAATTCTTTGATATTATAAAATTTATTATTTAATAATTTATAATCCAATTCTTTTCCAGGGTAGAGAGTCAAAAGTGCCAAAACATAAGTGCTAATGCCAAATTTCTAAAATTATTATTTTTTCAATGGATATCTTTTCCAAAAATTCTTTTTGGTTAACAGTAAATTTAATTTTCGGTTTATTTCATTAAACTGTTAATAATTGTTAGTACTGTTACGTCCGTAACTTCTTAATATACTTAAATTATCTATAATATTTAGGTGTGTATTTCTTTTAAACATATTGAATTATACATATATATTATACTAACGTATTTGAAATACGTATTCATACAATCTCTTCATATTATTGCATTATATTCAATATATTTTATAAGAAGGTAATTGTTATTATAAATTTTATATGTATTTAAACAAACTTATAAATTATAACAAATCCAAGAAAGATGGGTAATACTTTTCATGTAAAAAGAATAACGATAATCCATCAGGCAGATTAATATAATCCCATAATCATTGGAGTGTATAAAACAAGCAGGCAGGTGTCTAATTTCTGGAATCTGAACTGAGAGGTACAACGGTCGCCCCTCAACCCCCCTTAAACTATCGCTCTGGATTGCAACCTACCAGCCACAAAAGAGAGAGACAACAGTCGCCTAGCAGTCACAACTGAGAGAGAAAATAATCACTCCTCACGCCTCTTAGACAGTCTTCACAGCATTGCAGCCAGTCGCTCCAACCCCCCTTAAAATCCAAGCAACATCGACACGTGTATGATTCCAAAGAATTGATGAAGACAGTTTTATATAAAAGGGGATATGAGTTCTACTCAGATCAGAGAGTAACTATTTAGAAATCAACCTGAACACATCGTTCTGTACAAGAGACTAGAGAGTAATTTTTTGGGAATCAACCAGTTTACATCGTTCAGTCAACGTTAACACATCACATAATTTACAAGTGAATTCAAAGTACATCTTTGAAAGTGAACAGTATATCTCCAAGTATTCTTTTTAAAGTGCATTGTTCGAAAGTGAACAATATATCCCCAAGTGTTAAATTTGAAGTGAACTGTAAATCAACCTTTTATTATACATCAATTTGCAAAATATAAATTTTTAAACAATTTCCAAAATTATTAAATTGGAAATAATCTCAACAATCAAAGAAGATCTAATATTTAAACAACACATTCCAAATTTCGAACCATCGAAATTTGCTCAAGAGGCGACAACCGTCTGGAAGAAAGCAGATATTTTCAAAATACAATACACTATATCATTAGTGTAAACAAGAGGATTAATACCCAACCATTAAGGACAACAAGCAAAAGGCCCCTTTTCGTCTAGCGCTCAACACCATTGAGATTAGACAGGAGATTATCATCACACCACCAGTAATCGTTATTCTTTAAGTAAGATTCATAATTTTGTACTCATTGTAATTTTGTCAACTCTTTTCTTTCTTGTTGGTTTTTAAATAAATTATTCTCTCACATTTAGTAGGCTCATTGACTTATCCTCATCCCAAATTAGATTTATTTATGAAACTAATTTAAAACGAGGAACGCTAGGTATATTTAAAAAGGCCTATCGTTTTGACGTAACAGTACATATTAAATTTTTATGTAAAAATGTCAGACTTATTGCTCGTTGGTAAAAAAAACTTATTTACATGCTGATGGTTTTTTGTATTACAAACATTTCAATGAAAATTATCTTGAAGAAAATAACATCCTGGAATACTTGGATTGGTACTTTTTTGGCACTTCTGTACCCCAATCTTTTTTCCAGACTACATTTAGTCTAGAAACTTACTCTCCACATTTTGAATTAGTAAAATTCTACTAACAAACAGTAAAATTTTACTAATTGTTAATTGTTTTTATGCACGACTTTTCTTCTTTTTGATAAGTAGCAATTGGTGAATAAAACTAATTCTTAGCAAATGTTACACGCGCTAGTGCGTGGAACGTGATGTTCTATTTATTATTGTCAAATATAATTTTTTTAACCAATTTCATAAATTTAAAAAATTTACTTATTTGGTACAAAATTAATTATTATTGTTATAACTGTTCATATTTTCAAAAATTTTAATAAAATTTCACGAAAGAATTCAATTTCTAACATTTTAATAAATTATTCTAAACAAATTCAATTATTTTTTTAAATATTAAAATCTTTACAGAAATTCAATGATTTTCAAGACAATTTTAATTGAATTCCTCAGAAGAATTCAATTTTAAAAAATTTTTTAACACATTTGGAAAAAATCCAATTACTTTTATAAATAGTAAAATTCTTTGCAAGAATTATATTAATTTTAAAGATAGTAAAATTCTTTGCAAGAATGTAATTATTTTCAATATACTTAATTTTAATAAAATTCTTCAAAGAAATTGAATTATTTTCGAAAGAACTTTAATTGAATTTCTTGAAAATATTTCATTATTTTCAAATATTTCTATAAAATTCTTCATAACAATTTAATTATTTCTTAAAATTTTTATAAATTCTTCGAAAATTTTCAATTATTTTTATAAATGTTAAAATTAATATAATATAAATTATTTTTATAAATAGTAAAATACTTTGCAGGAATTCAATTATTTTCAAAACAATTTTAATTGAATTCCTCTGATGAATTCAAATATTTTTAAATTTTTCCATAAATTTCAATTATTTTTTAAAATTTTAATAAATTCTTCGAAACAATTAAACTATTTTTATGAATAGTAAAATTCTTTGCAAGAATTCAATTATTTTCAATTCAGTTTTAATAAAGTTATCTTTTATAATATAATAATCTTTTCGAGCTTTTAAATTTTCGAGCCGAGCCGAGCCCAATCAGTTTGAGCTCGAGTTGAGCTGGGCAAAAAGCTTGAATAATTTCAAGTACTTATATATATTGTGAGTACTCGATTTTATTTGAGTACTCAAATTTTTCGAGTACTCGATACATTGAGCCGGCTCGGACTCGGTTTGAAAAAATTCGGCTCGGCTCGGCACTTCGAGCTTTTTGCACATCTCTATACTAATAAAATTATTCTTCATACATTTCAATTGCTTTCAAAATTTTCAATTTCAATTTTCAATTCTTTGCGAGAATTCAGTTATTTTTCTAAATAATATAGACTTCTTTGAAGGAATTCTATTATTATCAAATTTTTTGACAAAATTCTTTGGAACAATTCAATGATTTTTTAGTACATTAATTTTAAAATTGAAAATATTTGAAAAGAAAAATTATTAAAAAGTTAATAAAAAAAATGAAACTGAAGTTACCAACGTTTTTTCGACGAAAAATATAATACGTAACAATTTCCCCGCCTCAGATCCAATTTTTTTTCACATTTATTATAGATACTAATATTAGAAGCCATTAGAAATTATTTTCAACTTTAAACTGTAAACACATTACCGGAACATGTACTTTATTATTATTAATTATTGAAACTGTTTTATCGACTATTAATACATTATTTGGTGGAATACTTATCGTCGTTTGTTTAGAACTTTTTACTAATTCTGATTTAGAGAGTAAACATAACTAAACATTTAAAACTAGACAAAATTGATTACTCGTATCCAGCACAACTTTTAAATTCCAGAAAATTGTGTAATTAATGGATATAACAAAAGTGTTCATTAAAAACTATTAGTTTGTTAATTAAAATTATAAATGAATAAATTAAGTTGAATAATATAATAAATTAAGTCTCGTAATAATATTTTTTACTTTTTTTTCTAGTTTTTAAAAATATCGCTGAGAGTCTCGGTCTCGTAAAACTCGATATTCTCCGAGTTAATTTACTTTCATGAAATATCTTTCATCTACATGAAGAGTATATAAAAACAATGTCTAAGGAGTTCAGCCAGTTATCAAAACGACATAAATCTCGTTTGATTAGAGAAGAAGTTTCAAATTTGTCAACTTTTTTAGCTCTAGAAATCGACGGAAATGAAGAAACAGAAGTATGTAACGATGCCTCTACTGCAACAAATTTTTTTGTTAATGATTGCGATATGTCAGATGTAGAAACTGGGAATTTTGAATATTCTATTGATGCCTGTTCCGAAGTACCAAGTAATTCAAATGATGTCTTACCTGAAATAAATGAGAGTGTTAATGAGAATGCTATTTTGGACCATTTAGATGATTTTGACAGCGATGTTGTTTATAGTGATTTGTCCGACGAAGACGTATATAACAGTAATTATGAGTCTGATAGTAGTTGTAACAGCGAAAATGATTTAGCTAGTGAATTACAAGACATTGTTTCAGAAGGTCATTTAAGTCAAAAAATTACAAATAATTTACTCCGAGTTTTACGAAAGTATGGTCATGGCGAACTTCCGAAAGATAGACGGACACTGATGAAAACTCCCAAGAATATCTCATTTGAGCTAGATCCACTTGGTGAAGGTCAGTATTACCATTTTGGGCTTGAATCTTGTGTCGTACGTTCAATAAAAAAGTATTTTAAATTAACTCCAGATAAGGTACAAATAAATGTAAATATTGATGGGGTACCTTTAGTGAAAAGTTCGAACAGTAATTTTTGGACAATATTGGGCTCCATAGCAGCTGATTTTTACACAGAACCATTTGAAATTGGAGTTTACCATGGTTTAACGAAACCAAAAGATGTTAATCAATTTCTTAGACCGTTTGTTAATGATTTCCTTCAGTGTAGAGAATTAGGTGTTAAAGTAGATGGTAAAATAGTACAAGTTACTCTGAATGCTCTAATTTGTGATGCACCAGCGAAAGCTTTTGTAACATGCACTAAGGGTCATACTGGCCACTTTGCTTGTCCAAAGTGTATTCAAGAGGGTGAATATATTAATAATCAAATGACATTTCCTGAAACTCAATCGAGTTTAAGATTTCACACTTCTTTTCGACAAAGGTTTCAGCCGGAACATCACACTGGGTATTCTTGTTTAGAAGAATTGTTTGAAGATGTAATTGATCAAGTACCTATCGATCATATGCACTGTGTTTGCCTTGGTATTGTCCGAAGATTAGTGTGGTTTTGGATTAAGGGTAAAAGGAACGTGCGATTAGAAGATGATAGGATTAAAACTCTTTCAGAGACTTTAATAAATATGAAACTGTTTATACCTTGTGAATTCGCTCGTAAACCAAGGTCAGTTTAATGACATTGAAAGGTGGAAAGCTACTGAGTGTCGTCAGTTCCTTTTATATACGGGAATAGTTGTTTTAAAACAAATCCTTTCAGAAGATGTTTACGCACATTTTTTATCGCTTAGTATTTCTATGCGGATTTTAATTGATGAGGAATTAAATTTGAACCCAGCGTTAAGGGCTTATGCGGATAAACTTATTAAATGGTTTGTTGAAAATGTTTCCATTCTTTACGGTCCAGAATATGTCACTTACAATTTTCATGTAACAAGTCACTTACCTCAATGCTGCGAAATTTTCGGTCCATTAGACAAATTCAGTGCTTTCAGTTTTGAAAACCACTTGCAAAAGGTGAAGGGACTTGTAAAAACCAGTAGCAGACCGTTACATCAATTGGTCAATTGAATTTCCGAAAGAGATAATAAAAGGCCTGTCTCTTCTTATCAAAAAGTTTATCCTGTTTTAAAGTCAAATGTAGCCGGCGAACTGTATTTACAGTTTTCAGGATTTCGTGTTTCTTCAAAAAAAATTGAAAATTGCTGTTTGTTGAAAGATGGTACAATTGCAATTATATAAAAAATTCATAATGAACGCGATAACATACTTTTATCAATAAAATACTTTGAAAAAAGCGAACCATTTTTCCCAGACCATGCAATTCCAAAAAATTTTCAATTGTTGAAGTTGAGAAAGCATCTCTTTCAGTTAGCAAACAAATTACTCCTTCAGAGATCAAAAGAAAATGTCTTAAAATTCAGCAAAAAATATCACTTTTGTCATTATTCCACTATTGCACGAAAATAGTATTTTACTACATAATAATTTCGTAATTTTGCTTGAAGACCGTAAAAGTCCGTCTTTTTGAAAAAAGGTCCGTAATGTCAGTAATTTGATTGAAAAACGTTCGTAAAGTCCGTAAATTGTACAATATAATTTGGATAATTTTAGAGAAATTACAAATGATTGTAGGAATTCAATTACTTTCAATAGTAATAAAATTCTTCACAAAAATTCAATTATGTTCAAAGTTTTTTTTAAATTCTCGTCAAAATTTAAATTATCTTTAGAAATTATTAAATTCTTCTCCGAAATTAAATTATTTTTAAAAATTTTAATAAAATTCTTGTCAAAATTTCAATTAAATTCAAAAATTGTCCTCAAGTAAGAGATTTTTAATAGCTACCTAGTATTCAAATAAAATTTTCCAAGAGAATTCAATTACTTATAAAAAAATGTAATAACATTCTACACAATCCTTGAATTATTTTTAAAAAATAAAAATATTACAGGAATTTCATTATTTAGAATTTGTCTTTATAAATTTCTTCGCAATCATTTAATTATTTTCACAAATAATAAAATTCTTACAGGGATTTCATTATTTTGGTAAATTATAAAATTCTTATTAAGAATTCATAATTATTTTGATAAATAATCAAACTCATTGCAGAATCTCAATTATTTTTAATACAATTTTAATGAAATTCCTCGAAAAAATAAAATTTTATTAAAATTCGTCAAAAGAATTCAATTATTTAAAAATGTGTTGATACAATTCTTTATGAGAATTCAATTTTAAGAAAGATGCAATTATTTTTTATAACATGCAATAGTTTTTTCTTGTACTAAATAATTGAATTGTAGTAGAATTTTCTTATAAAAATTAATTTATTATTGGATTTCAGTTAAAATTTTAGATTATAATTGAATATTAAAAGCAGTAGAGCGTAAATTTTTAGAAATAATAGAATTTTGAATAGGTTTAGGTTATTTCATAATAAAATCTTTGAAAATTTCAATTTTTTATATTTCTAACAATTCTGTGGAATTAATTTTTTTAAAGAAAGTTTAATTGAAGATTTTTAAATATTATTTGAAGTTTTTATTTTGTAATATATATATATATATTTAATTGAAGAATTTATGAATAATTGAAATTTCGTAAAATTGAAAATTGCAAAAAAATGGATTTGAAAATTGTCATAGAACTTTTTCGAAAATTATTAAAAATAATAGATTTTAAGAAGAGTTTTAGTTAAAAATTCTTCAAAACAATAATTTTATAATTTTGTCAGCAATTGGTTAATAATTTTTTATTTTTGGTCCGTAAAGTCCGTATTTTTAGATACTTTCACTGGTTTGAGCCTTGAAATTTAAACTAAAAACAATTTCCCGTTTTTTTAATTTCTATCTACTACGAATGGCATAATATCATAGGTAATCATTTGTAATATTTCCATGATTACTGTTCTCCGTTGTCTATTTTTTGTATAAAATAAATATTCTGACTATTCTATAAAAATTAAATGATAAACCGATTGTAATTGTAATTATTTATATATTGTTTGAGGTTTGCTTTCTGTATATACTTTAAAAAGTTATATTTTAAATCACCTGTGTACGCTGTAAATAATTGTTTGATATTAAATATAAAAAAATATTGTATTTAAAGTCTATTCATATAATATAATAATGACATCTCATACTCCTTCCTTTAATGTAACATTGTAACACACTGATTACTCACCTGCTTATAACAATGTTACAAAATTGTTACTAACATGTTTGTAGCATTGTTACGTAAATGTTACTTAAATGTTACAACATTGTTACGTATATGTGTGTAACTTTGTTACGTAAATGTTACTTACATGTATGTAACTTTGTTATGTAAATGTTACTTATATGTGTATACTCTGTTACGTAAAAGTGACTTATATGTGTGTAACTTTGTTACGTAAATGTTACTTATATGTGTGTAACTTTGTTACGTAAATGTTGCTTATATGTGTGTAACTTTGTTACGTAAATGTTACATAATTGATACAGAACATTGTGATTAATGTGTGGTAGACATTTTTACTAACACGTTACTCACACGTTACAAATAAAAAAAATCACAAGTTTCTCTTTGTTACGTAACCGTTACATAACAGTTACGTAACAGTGTTTGCTGGGAAGAGGACCTCGAAAAAATGAATCAGCCATTATTAAGTTACATGATAAAGATGGTTCTGGAACGTATTGGATTGCATATAAAAAAGTTAATAATAAAGTAGTCTTGTCAATTACTTAGGTTACAATAGTTTAATACAATATAATCATCAAAATTATCAACATTATAATAGCTTTAATTGTGGTCATTTATGTCTAAAATTCTTATGTGGATAGCTTGAAATAACTCAAAAATATATTCTATATAAATTATTGTAAGTCATTCCACCTAATCAGTTTACGAAAAGGCATTAACATGGAAGAATCCTTTACTCTGACTATTTCAGGCAATTCATCTACACTGGAGGCAGAATATTTTCCTCCGATGGAATTATTATCTAATAAAAAATATGTACTTGGCTTAGTTGAATTACTAACTTCCAATTCAATTCCTAATATTGATTAAGGTAAAAATAAATTTTATATTGGTGATAAAGTGATTACTATTCCCCCTAAAAGTTATGAAATTGAAGATATTGAAAAATATATTCAAAACTCTATTGAAAATGGGTCTGAAATTGTGAAAATCAAACCTAACAATAATACTTTTCGTAGTGAAATAACAAGCAGCTTTGAAGTGAGTTTTAAACAAAACGATTCAATTGGTGAATTATTATAATAATGTGAATCCTATAGGATTCAGAATTGAATGTAACATTACTACTGGTGCATACATAAATAATAAAAAGGTACACACAATTCACGAGTTTTTTCCAATCGTTCAAGCTGAAATAAGATTGTGGAAGTTCCATCTCACGTTATTTATCTTCCAATCGCCGTGAAGATAATACATAATATTTAAATAAAAATCGTTGATCAAGACGGAGATTTAATAAATTTTAGAGGTGAAACTATAACAATTCGATTACACGTTAAATCAACGTAATGGAAATTTTATTTCATAGAAAAACTGGTGGAAGCTATATAAAAGAGTTGCCATGTCAGAAGTCATTCATTTTATCAGAAAAACAAAGGAAAAAATTAATTGTACACATACTTTTTATTTGTTGTTGTAATAAAAATGGAAGAAATTTTAAACATTCTAAGTCCAGTTAAATTTGATAATTCTGTGACACACTATGAGATTCATGCACATCAACCATACGTGTCATCAGCATTTAATAACAGTGACGAGATTCGAATTGCAGTTCAACATCAAGACTTGTTCATTCTTCCAGCTCTAAAAGTACTCTACACGTCACTGGAAGAATTGTTACGCCTAACAATACGCTTGTAACTAATACAAAGTTAATTAGCAATGGTATTTCCTACCTGTTTAATGAGATTCGTTATGAATTAAATGGTGTTGAAATTAATCGCTCTAAAAATGTTGGTATTACAACCACAATGAAAAATATAATTTCTCAAACACCCAATCAAATGATTTACTCTGAAAGTGCTGGTTATCTACCTTATGATAATGATAGCAGAGTAACAAATAATCCTGGATATTTTGATGTAAATATTCCACTAAGTATGATTATTGGTTTTGCTGAAGACTATCGAAAGATGGTTGTAAATTCAAAACATTAACTTAGTTTAACAAGATCTCGTACTGATCTAAATGCTGTAGTAAACATTGGTGTAGCTAAGCGTAAAGAATTTATAATTATAATTATTAAAGTTGAATGGTTAATTCCACATTTAACGGTAAATGATAGACAAAAAATTGAATTATTAAAATACATTTAAAAAAATCACTTATAACAATGAGATTTGTATGAGTATCATATGATTCATGACACTCAAAAGCATGTGTGGACTGTGAAAACTTCAACACAAGTTGAAAAACTTCGATATGTTATTCTTGGTTTTCAAACAAATCGAAAAGAAGATCAAGAAAGGTATGCAAATTTATTTGATATCTCTAATCTTATCAATGTTAAACTTTTATTAAACTCACAGTACTATGCTTATGGAAATTTAAATTTAAATTTTACTCAAAACAAATTTTGCATACTATATAAAATGTATTGTAATTTTCAACCGTCCTACTATGGAGAAGAATCTGAACCTTTATTAACTAAAAATAACTTTCAATATTATGCACAATTGGCTGTTATTGATTGCTCAAAACAAAACGAATTTCTAAAACAAACATATGTAGATGTGCGATTGGAATTTGAAGCAAATGAAAACTTTTCAGCCAATACAGATGCATATTGCCTTATAATTCACGACCGCATTATACTATATTGTAGAGAGTGTAATCTCAAGAAACAGGATGGCGTCCAAGCAATTGTAAATTATCCAATAAAATTTAAATCTCCCGCCAACACCTCTGTCGGTAAAACAGATCCATCAATTACCAACCGAGTTTGAATTCATGACAGATACCTATCATACTGACTGTTGATTATATAGGAATCTGCATTAACGACTGTAGGTACTTTAGTCGAGATCAGAACCTGTGCCAGAAGCCCCCTAGCTATACTACTAATTCAGTCATCAGAAATTCACTTATTTAATTTTTAAGAAGCGATTTTAATTTCATGTTTCAACAAAGCATTGACAAATGTCGGAGATTTAATTTAACACTTATTTTTTGACGAAATTTGACTGACTTTGTAGCAGGATTTTCCGAGGAAAATTGCTATCAATTACTTTGCAGATATGATGCAATTAATAACAAAGTGGAAAACTGAAGTGGGATGTAGTAATCAAACATTTAAAATTTCAAATACATAAAATTGCGTTTTAATGTTTAAAAATAATGCCAAACTTTCAAGTACTGTGAGTCTGATCCTTACAGGTTAAACCGTTTTTCTGAAATTATTTCTTTACATAATTGCTCAGATATTTCTAAAAGCTTTTTAAAAAAAAATACTTATTTTACAATAACAAATTAGCCGATTTTTTATAGAGAAAATCGGCTTTTTGTCTTCCAATTGACACAAAAAAATTTGAAAATAAAAATAATAAAACTCCTACCAGGGTTATTTAAAAAAACATGTCTTTTAAGAAATACATTTTAGTTTTCTTTTTTCTTCTTTAACTGTCCCTGTATCACAAAAAAAGTCTTAATAATATGTATTGTATTTACCGATTAATCTTTTTTCTTTCTTAAACATATGTATGACATTATTTAGGGTGTCTACAAGTTTCTAGTATTTTAATAAAATTTTGGGTAACAGTAGACGATCGCCTAAAATTATGGGTTATAGATAGTAGCTGGATAATTAGCCTTCTGATTATTAGTAAATTATTTTAGTCATACACGAACAGGGTTACCACGCAATCTGGAAACTTGGAAATAAACCTGGAAATGTCAAGGAATTTTATAAACCTTGAAAAAACCTGGAAAAGTCAGGGAATTTTATCGAAATCCTTGAAAATTATTATTTTCTCAAGTTATTGTGATTATTCTTAATTAATTTTTAGAATTCTTAAGAAAATTTTGAATTTTTAGTGTTTTTTTGTTAAAGCTAGGAAATTACCACGAATTCTAATACAAAACCTGTCATTTGTTCCATTTCTGAAAATAATTTAATTATCTTTAACAACTGTCATAAAATTATTATTCATAAATTATTTAATGAACAATTTTACTTAAGTATTTAAAAATTAATTCAATTTTGAAAGAATGAATTAAATGAAAGAATTTAAATTTCTTTTAATTTTACTGATTCGGAGTGATTGTTAAATTCAATGTTTTATTAAACAATTTTAAAGAGTACGCGTTTATAATTTTCATAAATAGATGAGCTTCAAAAAGTTTTAATATGAAATTTTATTAAATTTCAATGTTTAATGAATTTAAATATAAATAAATTAATTTAATATTTAAATAAATTATTATGAATAAATATAAATGAATCAAAAATAAATTTAAATATGAATTTTAGTTAAAAACACTAAAATAATTAAATTTTTTTAGAAAAGTTAAAAATGATAGCAGAAATTCAATTATTTTCAAAAATAATCAAATTCTTCGCAAAAATTCAATTATGTTCAAAAATTCAATTATCATTAAAAATAATAAAATTCTTCTCCAAAAATTTTAAAATTTCAATTGTCTTTAAAAATAACAAAATGCTTTTCCAAAGTTAAATTATTTTCCAAAATGTTAATAAAATTTTTTTCAAAAATTTCAATTATATTCCAAAATTCTAAATATAATTATTTTCAATATCAGTTAATTTAATAAAATTTTCTAAAATAATAATTAAATGTTTGAGTGGAATTTTTTTAAAATAATCATTTTAAAAAAATTTTAACAAAATTCTACGTAAATATTTAATTTTTTTTAAATATGATAAAAATTCCACTGGAATTTAATTATTTACAAAATGTTTCCTATGAAAAAATAATAATTCACTTTTTCAATTAATTTTAAAATTACAGAAATTCTTAAATAAATGTAATAGATTTAATTTGGTAAATAATAAGTGTAGTTATAAAAACCTGGAAAAATTTTGTTTTTTAACCTAGAAAACCTGGAAAAGTCAGGAAATTTTGAAATGAGCAAAATCGTGGCAACCCTGACAAAAGATTTCAAATGCAGTGTTTCAATTGTTCGCTTATCTGGCGCTTGTATTTTAATTTTTATTATTTTAAAATCACATGTATAATATCTCTAAATAATTTAAATTATCAGTAATTAAAACCGACAGATTAGCTCAGTCGGATAGATGCCTCGCTTGGCGGTCGTTTAAGGACCAAGGGTAAGTACCCTTGATTCGCGCCCATTTGGCTTGGTATTTTTCCGGCACGTGAGATAAACTGAGCGGGAGGTTTGACGTTGAGGTATAATGATGTGCACTGTCGATTATTGGCCGGTACACACCATTAGAACTCGACTGTCGATAAACCGGTTGTACTCAGGAGAGTTTCCCTCTCTACTGTCGAGAAAACCTATTAGACGGGTGGTCCAGGCAAATGCGAGTACTCCTAATTTTCAAGTCGCTCTGCAGGCGGAAAACTTAGTATTAGGAAATGTATATAAGAAATATTTGTAAGAGAAAATTCTAAGAGAAACACTTGTAAAGCCAAGTATGTAAGGCTGAAGATAGGTGGATAAACCAATAATAAAAGAAAATGTCAGTAATTAGATAATTATTTGTCTAATTTTCAACTCATATTTTTTTATATTATTAACATAAATAAAATGAGCACTTTTTTAAGTAAAACGCGAAACTTTTGTCGAAACACTTGAATTAATGCATTGAATATCTTTCGTGCATAAGTAAAATTATTTACTCATAACTTAGAAATTTATGCAGAGATTTCAGTATTTCGTATAAATTTAAAATTATTGTAAATATAAAGACACTAAAAATAAATGTTCTGTATTAATTCATATTTATAATATTCTAGTTAATCCATTATTTATAAAAGTTGCATAACGCAAGAAGATAGTGAAATATTTAATAAAACATGCATAAACTATTATAAATGTAGAAAATTTTTATTTCATCACAAAATTTACATTTTCTTCGAAAAAACTGATTCACATTATTTAAGTGATGATGCTTCTTTAATTTGAAAATAAATATTATTTTAAAATAAACGTGAAATTTTAATAACAAAAATACTGGAAAAACAAGTGTTAGTTTTCTACTAATAATAGTTTCTAATATTTTGAATCTTCGCTGAGAAAATTTTGGGCAGACTACACGCTTTTCATGGACAAAACTAGAAGCCACCGAATGTCTCTGTTTCAGGACTCGCAGTTCGCCATGAAAAGACGAGATTCTAGTCCCAAAGGGACAGCATCAGCTTCTGAGG